ATATACAGAGGTGATTTTGAAGTAAGCTCACAATTGAAGATCAAGGTGAGAATTGAGAAACTTATGCTGATTTACTCATTCTTTTACCAATGTAGTTTCTTTACCTTTTTCTTCTGACAAAAAAAAACTTTTTTCTTCTTTGATTTCCCCCTATTTACTGAGTTTTTTCCGAGTTAGACAGACCAAACTGTCTGTGTCTCTGCAATGTGACTCAGAATTGTGTGTTTTACCTTTTTGGTATTTCCATTATCAAACCTTCTAGCTATTACTTCGAGAAGGAAATGAAATTCTAGTCAAATGTCTGAAATGTCCATTGAACTGAGGTTGTGATTTTTCTTGATTTGTTTGAAGAAAGGAAGAATTTCTCTACATCTGGTTTGAAAGATAACAAAGGCCTTCATTCCTAATAAATCTTGACTGATTGTCTTTGCATTACCTCTTTATGACTTTTCTCCCAGGAGTCTGTCATATATAGTGTCAATAAAACTATCCTCCCAGAATGTCAATTTTTAAAGAATCAGCACATTTGTTGTGATAATCAGATTTGGTAATTTACTCTCATCTGGAAGCTGTTTTCACTTTTTAAAGAATCAGCACATTTTTTGTGATAATCAGGTCGGATAATATACTCTCATCTGGAAGCTGTTTTATCTGATGACCATCTATGGAGGTTGTAAGGATTTTATAGGAGTCTAGGAAAAGAGTAGGATAGTAACTTTGGAATTGTACACCTAATATATATCCCTTTTGATCCCTATCTGCTAATTTTATGCGCACCTCTCTTTTTCCTTTTCCTTAATATTCTGTTTTCGAGATAGTTTGGCGGGAGGTTTAGTCTCTAATAAATGTTTTTCTTACTAGGTATGGGTTTACAAGAAAACATCTGAAGAGAAGTTTCCCACTCTAAAAAAGTACTCTGAGAAGGCTCCTCCCACAGACAAATTTGCCACTCATGAAATCAAGGTTGATTATGAATATAAAAGCATAGAAGACCCTAACAAAGTTGTGCCACCAGAACAAAGGATTAAAGGTTTTCGGTATGGACCTCAAGTAGTTCCTATATCCTCTGCTGAGTTGGAGGCTGTAAAGTTCAAACCTGAGAAAAGTGTGAAGCTTCTAGGATTCACGGAAGCTTCAAATATAATGCGGTATATTTTGGCTTCTTGAGTACTATATACACAGTTTGTTCTGGTTAACATTTGATTTTTAGGGAATTTCTTGTGTCGTTTATCTCTCCAATCTTCTCACAATGATAATCCATGTACTCAGGCATTACTACCTGAAAGATGTAAATATCTTCATAGCCGAACCTGGCAACAAAAAGGCCATCCTTGCACTTTCTGCTTTGGCAAGGGCAATGAAGGAAATGAACAAAGTAGCAATTGTCCGATGTGTATGGAGGCAAGGACAGGGTAATGTTGTTGTTGGGGTCCTAACACCAAGTGTCTCTGACGAGGATAATACTGTATGGTTTAAATTCTCACTTTTTGATTGTTCTGGTCACTTGTTTTTGTGGATATTCCATTCTTAGATTGTTGACATTCTCATGATCATTGCTTTGGCAGCCTGATTCATTTTACTTCAATATTCTTCCCTTTGCCGAGGATGTTAGGGAGTTCCAGTTTCCTTCTTTCAGAAATCTGCCTTCGTCAATGCAGCCAAATGAAAAGCAACAAGAGGCAGCAGATAAATTGGTTCAGATGTTGGATCTTGCACCACCTGGAAAACAGGAAATTTTGCCACCTGACTTTACACCTAATCCTGTTTTGGAGGTATGTTGTCACGCTGGTTGCAGGATATCATTGTAATATTTAAGTTTGAAACTACCCGTTCACTTAGGTCACTGATTGAGAGCATCATCTACATTTTTTTTGTGAAGAGTTGCCTGAATATAGAAATATTATTGTTAAAATATGTTCTTGCCAGTTGGTCACAGTCATTGTAGCAATTAGCAAACTGATGCATTAACATTTCATACTTTCTTTTCTCGCTGAATTTGGTTAAAAGTAAATAGGTAGAATGCTCGTTCATGTTAGTGAGTTATAATTGTCTTTTAGTTGGTATTGACAACCTTTTCGCTGCTTAGGTGGATAACTTGATTTGATTAATCACTTCCATAATTCATTCTCAAAAAAATTAATCACTTCCATAACTCCATGTTATAAGGTTCTAGGTGGTACTTCATATTAAATATATGTGCATAACAGGACGCTGGTGATTTAAATCCCTGGAGAATCGGGTCTTAAGAATATAAATGGTGCTGCTTGTCAGTGAACTCTCGCTTTCCTAATGTGAAATAAGAAAAATCATAACTTAAGAATTCTGATTGTGCTCTATAACCAACCGCCTTTTGCGCTGAATTTCTAAACAACTATGATTCTGCAAATATCCAGCGTTACTACCGCTATCTTGACTTGAAGTCAAAGCACCCGGATGCAGCTGTTCCTCCACTTGATGAAACCCTCAGAAAGATAACAGAACCTGATGTTGAACTTCTTTCTCAAAACAAGTCCATCATAGAGGAATTCCGTAGGTCCTTTGAACTAAAAGAGAATCCAAAGGTAACTTTCAATATTCATCCTTTATTCAAATTAGACATTCTAGAATAGTCCAGCGATGGAGGTTTTTAAGTCTTATCAACTTTTATATATCATTAACGTGCAGCTGAAAAAATCAACTAGAAGAATTATGAAAGAGAGACCTTCAGGATCAGACGGGGAAGGAGAAGAGTTCGACAAAGATGCTGATGCCAAGGCTATTGACTCCATAGGATACTCATCCAAAGACAAAGTTGAGAAAATTGGAGACATAAATCCTGTTAAAGACTTTGAGGAGATGATGTCTCGAAGAGATAATCCAGGATGGATTAGTAAGGCCATTCAGGATATGAAAAATAAGACCTTTGATCTTGTAGAGAATTCTTGTGAAGGGGATACATATGATAAAGCATTGGAATGTTTAGTGGCTCTACGCAGAGGTTGCATCCTTGAGCAAGTATGTTTCTGTCTTCTCTTTTTGTCGCTAGTTAAATATCGATCATCTGTGCTAAGAGCCCATTTTAACTAACGAAGCAACACTAATTTAACTTGTTTAGGAACCAAAGCAGTTCAATGATTTCCTGTGCCACCTGTATATATTCTGCCAAGAAAAAGACCTGAGAAGTTTTTGTCAATTTCTTGCATCTCATGGAATGACCTTGATAACCAAGACGGAAGCTCCAGACAGGTCTTGTCATACTTCTAATTTCTTTAATATATTGAACTACTGACGTTGCTCTGGCTCCATGTTTACTTCTTTCTTGTTGTGCTGGATTTATCAGTGAAATTCCAGAACACGAGGCCAGAAGCTTTATGGTCAAGCCTGAACCGGACTCGCAAAATTTGAAATCAGAGGCTAAAGTAGAGGATGATATTATGAGTATATTCCTGGGAGGAAAATAGAAAAGAAAACCTAGAGATGCATATCGTGGCAATTAGCATTTTCAGCAAGAAATGACACTTCGTAAAAAAGATTTTCTACTTATTTTGTGCAATGGGGAAGGGAGGTTTAGGATAAGGGAAAGGAGAGAGATGATGAATCTTAGACCTTGATGAGCTTTATTTTATTATTCCATGCTCAAGTTTGTTCTTTGAGATTTTATTATCTCTCTCCATTGGCTGAGGCTTTTCTAACAAGGAGCCATGTTAACATGTAATTTACCATGGTTAAATGATTGAAGTCCATATGCAAGACACATGTCATATATCTATTGGCTTGGTGTAAACATCCGGTGCGGGTAAATTTTTACCGTCTATTCAATCCTAATGCATAAATTATTATCTAGGAATTGTCTGATTCAAGACATTTTTTCTTGTAAATACTCTTAAAACTATACATTGCTAAAGCATATATTCTTATCTCACGTTCTAACCTTTATAAAAGTTGTACCAGAATAGGGATACGTCTAATTTCCATGACTAAATTCCACAAATGGAACTAAAACATTCAAGTAGTTATACATAAATTATACTGTATTAGTTATCCAAGATCTTAGACCGGAATCAAAACTTCATGCAAATCACACGAATATTATACGGAGATCAAATTTCTTATACTTCTAACGACACTATCAATATAATTGAAATGATTCTTTCAGCTAAGAAAGCTCACTAAAAACAACCCAAATTACATATCAGATAATTTCCATTAGAGAATCAAGAACACAACCAGTAGGGGTATTCATGAAAACCCGAAAAATCGAACCAAACCGATCAAACAAACCGATACTTTTTGGTTTAGTTTGGTTTTGGTTTTGGTTTTGAACCGATCAAATTTGATTCGATTTTGGTTTTAATCAAAAAAATAACCGAAAAAAACCAAACCAAACCGACTATAGGAGTAGCCATTTATATATATATATATATTTATACGAAATTTTCAAAATTTTTATGATGAACGTTAATCGTTTGCACTTTTAGTACAAATTTTTACCTTTATATTCTACTTTGATTGGCAGTTTTTTTTTGTTAAGTGTAAAAATCCATTTCGTGTTTAAAAAAATATATTTTTAATTGAGCCCTTAAATTATTCATCACTATTTGATTCAATTATCATCAATATATTTTAGTAAATAATAGATTTCTCAAAGGGCAATTGATTTGATAGTGTTACGTCGAAAATGTTGTCGCCGGAATATGTGTTTGGTAGTGTATATCTTATATTTAAGAAAAACCCGACAAATAACCAAAAAAAACCGAAAAACCAATAAAACCCGACACAAATCGAATCGAGAAAAAACCGACTTAATTGGTTTGGTTTGGTTCTAATATTTGAAAAAACGACTTACTTAGTTTGGTTTCTTTTTAGGGAAAAACCGATCCAAACCGAACCATGAACACCCTAACAACCAGGTATGCACCACCTGCAAAGAAGGTGGAGAGGCTGGCTTGTCCCATTTTTCTTGTCTCACACGCTCAAAAATATTACTACCCAAATGCATGGAAAGTTTTGCCTTTGAGTAGTAGCTTTTCCTCAACAAATCGGTCCTGGTAATGAAGAAAGTGGTTGTAATTTCTGTCGCTAATTCTTTGTCTAGACCCTGCCTCAGCACCAACTTCCACAGAGAGTTCACGTGACAAAATTTCAAGAAACGATAAGTTCCTATAGATGATCTTTCATCCACGAATGAATAATGCTAAGCTGGAGTTATCGACGGACTCCAATTAATTCAATATCATACACCAACCACGAGTTTGGTGGGATATTCTCCTCAGCTCCCTGATTACCGTAGCTGCAAGAACAAAAATAGCAAGAGTTATTCAAAACCAGAAAAGGAAATTACATGTGTGAGTGTGTACACTCAGTAGCGGAACCAAGATTTTGGAAGGAGGAACTTCCAAAAAAAATGAGGGGGAAGCAGGGAGAGGGATTTGTTTTCAAAAAGATATCTTCAGAAGCTGAATGTGCAGCATACCCCATTGATGGCGGGACTGTGAGCCTTCTTTTATCACCCACACGCATGCCTGTTATGGAAACATAATATAAGGATTAGTAGCTGCAGATGCGAAGGAAAGAATTAAATAAGAAATGAGATATCAGATCTACTCATCACTGTCTTTACCGTCAAGACCAAGGTTCCATCCCTCTATGATGTCTTTGTCGCCTTCAAACAATAAAAAGGAAAAGCAGAGTTTAATAAAGGTTCACGAAAACAAAGTAGATTCTTCTATGGGTCCTGTGAGTACCTAGCCGAAACTTATATGGAGATTTTCCAATATTTGAGTAAAAAATTTGTCCATTCTCCTTTAGCTTGCCAGTGTAATAAACTTTGATCTGCGCAACAGTTCATGCAACAGGCAATGTTGAGATTGTATTTTTTCTGAGGCAAGGCTGCTTAATGTAACATTAATAGTTTGAAATAACTATAAATTCTCAAGTAATTTACCTTCTTTCCTGGAGCAGCCAATTTTCCATCGGGTTCACCCGTTGCAAGCTCTTCAATGGTCAACCCGTTAGATAAAGTCCTTATTACAGTAGACTTGACCTTCAGACTCTTGTCCTCAACATCCACGGATTGTCTATTCATTTCATTCTCTTGCAGAACCGGAAGATCAATGTTAACCATACAGTCCTCCTGAGCCTTCGTCTTCTTTTTCTTCTTCTTTTTAATTTTCTTATCCAATTGGTGCCCATCAGCTACGGAGTCAGATTTTCCATCAATGCTTCTGCGTGCATGAAATGGTCAAATGTTATAACCAAAAATAGACCCTAAAAACAAATTCTAGGAGGCTTTAGCATTCAACCTTGAATAGGGAATCAGGGAGAAAGGAAACTGCATGATGTCAGAGTATGTTTATCAGAATTGGCATAATGATATACTGCATCCGTTTCAATTTAGATGACATACTTTCCTTATTAGTCCGTTCCAAAAAGAATGACACATTTTTATATTTAGAAATAATTTAACATTAAACTTTTCATTATATCACTTTACCCTTAATGAGAAGCTTTTATAGCCACACAAATATCATAGTCTCACTAAGCTTTTGCCCCTTAAGCTTTTAGCACTACATGTTATCCAAAATTTCTTTTTTTTTCCTTAAACTTTGTGCCTAGTCAAACTACGTCATCTAAATTGAAACGGAGGGAGTAATATTAATATTTACTAGTTCAAAGAAGATTCAGGTCTTTCCAACCTATTTCCTCTCAACAAAAAAGATCTTTGATAACGGTAGGGTGCCTTATTCAGGGCTTCAGACAGTAGGCAGGATCAGGATTCAGCGGAGTTTTGGAGAAAACAACACTGCTAATTAACTATTAAAAAACTCACTTATTGATTGTCAGTTTTTGATCTTCTTCATCTAATGCAAATGCAAATGGATCCTCATCCTGCTGACCAGCTTTTAGTGGATCTTGTTTCAGTTTACCCTCTTTAAGAGTGATATCAGCTGTTGTATCATGGCTTTCAACAGATTTGGCTTCCACAGAATGTTTTCTTTTCTTTGACTTTGGACCACGTTTAGAATCCTCCTCTGCTGGAGGCTCTAGAGTATCAAATTTGCCATCTTTCCTGCCAGAGTACGTAGCTTGAAAAAAAATTAGAAGGGTAATGAGGTGTATGAATAACCTACTGAAAAAATAACTTGATTAGTGCATAGGTGGTCGATAAATCAGTGATGCACAGCACGAAACAAACATTTACATTATTAAATAAATCAACATCTTACGTATTAATCACTGCCGTCCCAGAGTCAACCAGCTTTGTGTTATCCTCTTTGTTGTCCTTCCCATCACTGCTAGTATCTGCTTCAAGAAGTTTACGACCATTGCCCTCAGGCTGTTTCCTCTTCTTGCTCGATTTAATGCTATTTTCATGTCTGTGCTCACTAAGAGGAGCAAAATAAGCAGGGAGAAAGTTAGAAACTTTGCTAGAGGCGAGCAATGAAACAGCGTTCCTTGGAATGGACAGAATAAAGGAAAAGAACATTCCACATGTATGCATGCCCATAAGGCAGAGAGGATAACATGCACTTATTAAGGAATAGCTTCTATTCATTTTTCCTTTTCCAGATTACTCGAGAACGAACCTGCCAGATGCTAGTCATCTTAATACTTAGCATACTCTGGCAAACAATCATGAACTGGCAACAAGTCCACATGCCACAATGGATATAAGAAAAGAACAATTAAACAAAATTCTTCAAGCTAACTCCCAACTCCCAAGATATGTGGCTCAAAGCTAGAGATAATATGAAACGATTCGATGTAGGATTTCCTTTGGTAGAGTTGAGTACCTTGTATGGATCAAGGAACAACTATACGTTGAAAACTTTCAGCAGATATTGTGGAGTTCATGGGAAAATGTAGATTAGACAAAAAGTGATTTTTGAGGGAAAAGCTCCTATCATACTCGATCCCCTTATTTTCTTATAAATCTTATAATGTACCACGTCAAGCCAAAAAAGGTTACTGCAGTCAGAGAAATCAGTAGTTGCTTAAGTGTGACTTACTTTGCCTTTTCATGTTCCACCGTGCCACCATTTTCTGTCCTATGAGGAGCCTCGGCACTTAGCATGTCATTCTTTTGATTATCTTCTGATGTTTTAGCCTTCACATCAGCTTTCTTCTTAAGTGCAGATAAGAGACAATTGTCTTCATCTGTGTCCTGCAAGATATCCTCATCTTCGGACTCACTTACTTGGTACTTCTTCCTAAGCCTTTTATGGTTGCTATTGTGTTTGTGAAGCTTATTGTCTGACAAGTTCTCATCGTCTACTTGAACTGGAAACACCAAAAAAATTATTAGAAGAATAGAAATTCGGAATGAATAATGATAATAGACTAGCCCCAAGGGTGTGGCTCAGCAGCCGATGAAGGAGGCCAGGGTCCGAATCCTAGCAGACAGGAAAAAAGCTAGGTGTTTTTTTTTTCTATCTATCTAACCCTTTGTGGACTAGGTGTTTTTTTTTTCTATCTATCTAACCCTTTGTGGACATATTACCTGATACCTGTACTAGTGGGAAGATGCGGGTACCTAGCGTACATTATCGGGGGAAAAATACCGAAAAGAGAAACTCAGACACCAGCAGGTCATTTGTATCAAAAAATTACACTTCGAGGAAGAGAGTGGATTAGCAATCTTCCCTACAATCCCTCTTTTGTTTGTTTAAGAGAGATCCCACTGGACTATCATATCCCACACCCAAGGAGATAAGCAGTTCCAAAGGGTAGGGGCAGAACTCATTCAAATTTAAGGAACAATTGATAGCTTCAATCTTGCATGTTCGCATGTGAGCTAAAAGATACCTCCGCTGCTTGAAGCATGTGAAGGTGGGGATATTTCTGGTTCACCATCATTGATAAAGCTATCATCATACTCGTCCTCATCAGTCCCGTGGCAGGATTCCCCTGTTTCTGTATCTACAATATCCTCCCCAAACGACTCAGTATCACTGTTTACATTTGCTCGTCCACTGTTACCCACATAGTAACCAGTCAGATAAACAGTTCTTGGACCAAGAACAGAAAAAACCACATCATCTGCCTCCTCGAACTCTAAATCCAAATGGCACGACTCTGTCTTGTTAGGTAACAAAGCACAGAGGAAAACAGGACTCTTGTTCCCCACATTACACTGTACCAAACTTTTAGTTTCAACATTGCCAATTCCCAATGTTGCCTGAAATGCCACAACACACAGAACAAGGAGCTAAAAGTGGTCAATCTCCTGGTTATCCTCAACAAAAAATAAATATGCATGATAAATGGAATCCCAGTTTGACCCAAAAGAAAACCTAATCTTTGCTTTTGAGCTTCTTGTAAACTTTTTCCCTTCGTCTAATCTTTTTGCTTTGTTATGTGAAGTCGAAACAACTCACTCCATTTTCATTTTATATAACAGTACACGACTCGACATAAAGCACAATTAGTAATCAATTTGACCAATATATTATATTCGTGATACTTGAAGAAAGTATTAAAGTAGTGTTTGAAAAATTAGTTTGATGTGGAAAATATTACATCAAAGTTCAAGCTGTATGGAAATTAAAACAATTTGGGACATCCCAAAATGGAGAGACTAACATATAAATCGGGACAAGGAGTACATAAAATTAAGATTAAAGTAGTTTAAAATACAAAGCCGGTATTGATTTTCAACTCACTTTACTCAAAATTCAGAAATTTAGAGACCAACTTCAAATTTAGCTATAAGTCTATAACATTGGGAATCTGAGATTTAATTAATTTATATATAAATCACCTGAGAAATTCGGAGCCTTCCTCTCGCATTGTCAAAATAATGAGTGACTGGCTTTCCAGGTTTCACTTCAATTCCTATTAAAAAACAAAACAAAAAAAATTGCCGTACATACTATTTATGGATTCAAATGGGGTAGCAAGCGTGTAAATACAACATGTTAAGGCTCTAATGTTAAACGCAGTAATGAATGATAAAATAGCAGTAGAAAACAGTTGAGAAAATTTTACCCCAAAATGCCATTGTTTCAGCTTCGCGGTGGTAGAACCCTAGGCGGAGAGGAGTGAAGGGCGATCCTTGTTTCTTCTCAAACCCTAAGCTATTTATACGTCGAGTCGGCGGGAGCTGTTTCTTCGCTTTCCTTAGCGCGCTCGCCCTTTTAATATTCTTTTTTCTTTCACCGTCCTTTTAATATTCTGATCATATTTATTTCTGAGTTTAAATTCTACCTGTAAAAAATATTTATTGAAACATGTCATCTTTGAAAAATTCGTATATGACAAATATTATAATTAAAAAAATATAGTAGATAGCTTACATGTTTTAAGGTGATAGATAGCTATTGCTCACTCCGACCCATTTTTAATGGACACGTGAAGTACGATGGTCAAACTATTTAATTTTAGTATGAATTTAGACATAAAAATTTCTAATTGTTTAAAATAAATTTTATATATTTTAAAAATATATAATAATTAACAATTTAATATATTTAAAAAAGACACATAATCACGATGAAAGGAAAAAAAAATTGATGCTAAAAGTAGTAACTATAAATTGGAACAAATGGAGAAATAATTATTGGTATAGCCTAAATAAGTATTTTGTGTTCATTTCCTATTTAATGTTTTAAAGATATATGTACCAAAAAGATGTTAATTGTCTATTTTAATCAAATACTTGAATAAAAGTTCCCAACCAAAATATTTATCTTCTTTCTTAAATTTCATTACAACAAATGCATAAGAACTTCTTATATGTAATTGTAATTCTTTTCTAGTAATTACATTTCAAGATTTTTAGTAACAGATATACCTCATGTTTAAACTAAACTCTTAACAATCTAGCAAAATGAAAATTTTATTCAAGCTAATATTTTTGTAGAATTTTCATAATTAAGAGGATGTAACTATTTGATTTGAAAATATAAAGGATGTATTTGCAAGTGAGTCAGATTATTAGGGTATTTAGCGCAAATCTATATTTACTTAAAAGGAAGAAAGTCAGGCTTGAGATTTTGCCAATTGTCGTGTGCATAAAATGCCATATAAAAACTTTAGGACAGATTAGTTAATTTAGGTAAAATTAGTTTCTCTTTTTAAATTTTTAATTTGAAAACAATTAAATAGGTATATATTTTTAAAAGAAACAATAATTTCTACACTTTATATCTACCGTTTTTAAGGAACACAGTAATTTTTAAGGAACGCAACGCCTATTTGCCCTAAAAATATCAATCCTACAGATTCGGTTCTTCAATCCCATGATATCTCGGTACGATTTCAACTCCTCACCCACGAACTCTTTCTCCATATACATGATTTCACAGTTTTGTCAAATCAGTTTTCTATATTTACAGTATATAGTTCTACTCCTTCTTACTCGTGTGCATATCAAACAACAATTCTGGACTACGCGAGGTGATTGGTATGATTTATATTTCATGAACAGTCTTCCAATTTTTGTAACGGATAATAAAATACAGCGCTCTTTATTATTTTTGTTGAGATTGTATTTCTATAACAGATAATTTATGTGAAGTTTGTCGACGGCGTATGTGATATAAAAAATATCAAATTGTCATAATCTATATGTGTATGGGGTCGAATTTGATCGATCACGTCCTTAAGTCAGCACGACCGAATGTACGTAAGTCCAGCTAGAGGGGCGACCTATGAATGACAAGAAGGACGACTTCGTGACCATGTCGGTCATTCCATAGCATGTACTTTATTTTTGGTCTTTTAATATCAAGTAAGGATCCTCTATTATATAAAGAGGGATCCAAACCTTGTAAAGGGGATTCATTTTTTCTGGAAATACATGATCTCTCTCTCTTCTCTCTCTTTCTTCTCTCTCTAACATTATCTCTCTCTTACGTTTCGAATATTATCACCTTCTCTTGTTTCTCCAATTTATATGATTGCTAGCTGATCCTATACTCAAGATCATCCTAGGGTTTACTATCTTCAACTACGATTTACCCCTTCATCTATATCGATTGATTTGCTTAAAAACTGTTAAACAACTTTTGAGTCAAACAATTTGGCGCCGTCTGTGGGGATTTCGGTAGTCGAAATCATAGTTCACATCTAGGATATCAAGAACAACAATTACTATACTTCAAACTCCGTAAAACTGACAAATGGCAGATAAAGAATCAAGGCCGAAGATGATAGCGGATGTCACAACCAACCTCATAGGCCCCCTCAACGAGGCCGATAGAGAAAATGTTGCGAATGTAACACCAAGCAGTGTTCCGGAGGAGGAGATATCACCCTCTTCACTCGAAGATCTAACGATCTTGCATGAAAGAGGGGCTTCAACGTCTGCAGCAAAGGAAACGCCCCCAGTAGTCAAAAAGCTACTAGAGGAATGGTTGACAAACACTCTAAATGGCATGCTCGAGAAACCATCTCAGGGAAATCTTAAAGACTCATCAACGGCGGAAATCGCGGCTGTCGCCGGTGAACCAAGTGCTATACGGACAAACGGCGCCCACACCGATATCAACGCAAGCGATAATGCACTCACAATCATTCTTAAGAAAATGGAAGAAATGGAGAACGAGAATAAAGCGCTTCGTGATCAAATGAAGGAGCACCAGGAAAGGGTAGACAAAATACCCGATGCCCCTAAGCTACTGCCGAAACGTGACGTGGGAAGGTTCGTCGAGCAACCGTATAGTGAGGAAGCTGCTTCTCACCCGATCCCTAAAACCTTCAAGATGCCCCCATACTTGAGAATATATGACGGGACCACGGATCCAGAAGATCATCTGATCCATTATGTAACCGCTGTAAAAGGCAACGACTTATCGAAAGAACATGTGCCGTCAGTGCTGCTGAAAAAGTTCGGTGAAACTTTGACAGGAGGAGCGCTAACATGGTACTCTCAACTACCAGCCAGATCGATATCGACGTTCGGAGAGATGGCGGATAAGTTCGCCACCGCCCATGCAGGAGCAAAGAAGGCTGAAGCGAGGGTCAACGATATCTTTGTGATCAGGCAAACAACGGGCGAAGGACTCAGAGACTTCCTGGCACGATTCAACAGGGTAAGAATGGGCTTGCCGAACGTATCAGAAGGAATGGCGGTTGTTGCTTTCCAAAACGGGTTAAACAGAGATGGGTCGAAAGCGACCAAGAAGCTGCTCAATCGACTCATGAAGTATCCCCCCACTACGCGGGAGGAGATCCACAATGCCTACTGCGCTGAAGTGAGAGCAGACGAAGACGATCTTAACGGTCCAACCCAACAACTGACATCAGTGCAATAAGAAGTCAGGAGGGATCGACGTAATGATGGGCGACAGGAACCACTCCCACGATTCAACAGAGAAAGGCATCAGCCCTACGTCAGAGCCCCTAATCCGCCTCCTCCGAGACATCCAGACGCCTTGCAACGACACGCCGCCCCGCTTCGGAATGAAAGAGGTATGCCTCCATTATTATCCGCTCATAACTTTTGTGTCTCACCTTCAGAAATAGTGTACGCACTGGAGAAACTGGGCACGAAGGTACAATGGCCGCAGAAAATGAAATCAGATCCTAGTGCGAGGAGGTCGAACGTCCTATGCGAGTTCCATCAGGAAAGGGGACACAAGACCGAAGATTGCATAGGCCTACGACAGGAAGTGGTCAGAATGCTGAACCAGGGATACCTGAAGGAGCTGCTCAGCGATAAAGGGAGAGCTAATTTTGCCAGGGGACGCGATCAGTCCCAAGGACCACCGAAGCCACCCTCTCCAGCATGCACCATACAGATGATCATCGGTGGCGGCGACGACTCGGCAATCAACCATGTAAAGTTCACCACCACACACAAGTTGAAGTGCGCGATCGCTCACGAACAGTATGATGACTTCGAAGATAGTATCACCTTCGATAAGTCTGATGCCGACGGTTTGTCTTTCCCTCATTACGATGCTTTAGTTATAACTTTACGCATTGCTGATACTGACGTAAAAAGAATCATAGTAGACGACGGAAGCGGCGCGTGTATTATCCACCCGAGGGTCCTCATGCAAATGAGGCTCGAAGATAAGGTAATACCGCGTTGCATAACGCTAACAGGTTTTAACAATGCAGTAGAGCGAACCTCCGGAGAGATATCACTGCCAGTTTTGGCGGGAGGAGTCACGCTGGAAACCACATTCCACATCATGAACCAGGAAACGGCTTACAACGTCATCATATGACGCCCGTGGATACACGCCATGCGAGCCATCCCCTCTAGTCTCTACCATGTAATCAAGTTTCCCACCCCATGGGGAATATTCAGCATTCGAGGTGAGCCACGCACCGCCCAGGAATGTTATCGAATTGCCCAAGACTGCACACATACCAAACAGCTGAGGGAGCACGTGCGGAAGCGTAGCAATTAGCCATGTCGGGAACCAAAATCAACCCGACAACAGAGGTTATTAGGGACCCAGATGTCGTAAAAGCTTGCAAAGCGACAGTCGAGAACCTCGACCCGGTCCAGCTGGACAGTGTCGACAGTTCAAAAAAAGCCTACATCGGACACAACCTCTCCGACCCAGGTAAGTACCACGAATTCTTAACTAACCATGCAGATTTATTTGCTTTCTCTCATTCAGATATGCCGGGGATCCCAAAAGACATCGCCACTCACAAGTTGAATGTCGACCCACTTTATTCGCCCGTACGGCAGATAAGAAGGAAATTCAACGCCACAATCAACGAGGCAGTCAGTGAAGAGGTAGATAAATTACTAGCCAACGGTACCATCAGAGAATCGAAGTACCCCCAATGGGTCGCTAACGTGGTCATGGTTAAAAAGAAAAATGGGAAATGGAGAATGTGTGTAGACTTCACCGACCTGAACAAGGCATGCCCAAAGGACTTTTTCCCATTGCCCCATATCGACCAACTAATCGATGCAACGGGGCACGAGCTGCTAAGTTTCTTGGACGCCTACTCCTGCTATAACCAAATCTTAATGGCCGAAGAGGACCAAGAAAAGACAACTTTTATCACCCATCAAGGGACGTACTGCTACAAAGTGATGCCCTTCGAACTGAAAAACGCGGGTGCAACGTACCAAAGGTTGGTCACCAAGATGTTCAAGGAACAACTCGGTAAGACAATGGAGGTTTATATCGATGACATGTTAGTAAAA